CCCCTTATAATAAGCGATGATTTATATGTTTATATATAAATTTAATTATTTAAATTAAATTAAATTAAATTTTATGTGGTAAGATGAACTTTTTCTCTTTTTTTAATTGTGCTCTTTTATAATCATTTGAATTTTATAATTTCTTATGACTTTGTCTATTTAATAACAGCAATACAAAAAATTTTACTATAAAAATTTTAAGATAGAAATTAAATGTGCGATGTTTCGCAGACCTCACCCCACTAGTTAAGGTTTAAATTAACAATAAAAGTACAAAAAATATAATGTTTATTAAAATTAAATCATATTCATATAATCATATTATAAATCATATTATATAAAAATTATATTGCTGCGTTAATTGAAACATATACAGGGTAATCGGAAACAATCGCGGTTAATATTCTCGTATTTTTGAGCAAAATCTAAGACTATTTTTCCTCTTGCAAAATGTTATCTGAGGCTTAGTTGCTAGTATAAAGAGAAATAGTTAGCCACTCATAGCCCAGATACAGAAAGTAGGCAGGGGCGGCACAATTCACCGTCAGACACAGACGTTGGGCAATACACATGTAACAATATTCATACATCTTAGTTTGTAAATTTTCAATGCTTGCGTCAATGTGATTGTACACAATAGTAAATAAATTATTTTAACTTAATTGGATATGATTATAACATAACATATAAGGGTGAAATAGTCGATTGCGTTCACGCACGCGAACTTGACCTAAGTGCAATATAAACTTTACAAATACGAAAAACTTTAAAAATAAGCACGAGAAGAACGAAACATTAATCGTACAAAGCATAAGATATTCTTACATTATTTGAGAAAACTGACGAGTTTATAAATACGAGAATGCAATTGTTTCCAGTCACCTTGTACGGACAAAATATGACGTTTACATCGAAGAAGTGGTGTAGTGTCTAAAGCAATAGGCTTATAATTCTCAGCTTTAAGTTCAAGTCCCAGTGTTAGTGAGAATTTTTAAGTGTGATATAACAATTAAAATCAAGTAATCTTAAATTTCAAGTAAAGTCAGCAAACGCTGACTGGTTTTTTATTTTAACCAATTCACCGGATCTTTGTAAAAAAATGAAACTTTTTACGCATATTTGAATATTCCTTGTACATTCTATGAACATTCCGGAATATTTTGGGATATTCTTGGAATGTTATTGGGTTGTCGGAAAAGTCATGACGCATTTTTGCAACAGATGGCGCTAGTTCTTTTTGGAAGTACTAGAGTCATTCGCATTTATGTTATTGCTATGTCATTTGACAGCTGACAGTTCTAGCTTTATTTAAAAAAAAAATTGAGCGATTAGGTTGAGTTTTGGAATTTTGTAACAAGTTGAAGATGGAAGACCAAACTGTGCATTTTCGCCATATATTACTATTTTATTTCCGTAAAGGGAAGAACGCGTGTCAAGCTTGTGAAAAGTTGTGTAAAGTTTACGGGCAATGCTGTACAAATACGTCAGTGCCAACGATGGTTCACGAAATTCCGTGCTGGTGATTTTGATCTCAAAGATGCTCCTCGGTCAGAGACGCTTATCGAGGTTGATGACGACAAAATAAAGACATTGATCGAGTCAAACCCACGTTACACGACATGAGAGATTGCAGGAACATCCATCATTCAAGCGTTCACGACTATCTAAAGAAGCTGGGATACGTAAGCAAGCTCGATATTTGGGTTCTTCATGAACTCAAAGAAGTTAATTTGACGGCGCGTATAAACATCTGCGATATGCTCACTAAACGTGAGGAAAACGATCCTTTTTTGAAACGACTGATAACTGGTGATGAGAAGTGAATTGTTTACAACAATGTGGTGCGCAAACGGTCTTGGTCCCGACGTGATGATTTGCCTCAAACGATATCGAAAGCAAACATTCATCAGAGGAAGGTTACGCTCTCAGTGCGGTAGAATTTTAAAGGTGTCGTGTTTTTTGAGCTCTTACCAAGGAACCAAATTCGGAACAACCAATTCGAATATGTATTGTCGGCAATTGGGCAGTTTGAACGAATCTATCATCCAGAAACGTCCAGAGCTCGTTAATTGTAAAAGAGTTATGTTCCATCACGACAACGCGAGACCACACACAAGTTTGATTACGTCAAAAATTATTGGAGCTTGGATGGGATGTGTTGCCACACCCACCATACTCGCCTGACCTTGCGTCGTCAGACTTCCACTTGTTTCGCTATCTTCAAAACTCTTTGCATGATATAACCTTTAATTCAGATAAGTCTGTAAATCAGTACCTTGTTCAATTTTTCACCGATAAAGACAAGTCCTTCTATAAACGAGGAATTATAAAGGCAAAAGGTTGTCGAACAAAACGGGCAATATATCATTGATTGATCTTTGTCCTTTATATTTATCCAATATAAACAAATGAGCTTTGAAAAAAAGAAAAAATACGTCATGATTTTTCCGACAACCCAATAATACGATAAGATAGTTATATATCTATGTTTCAAGGGATTACATTAACATGTTTTACATTATTAAAACTAATACTTAATAAACACTAATAATATATTAATATTATAATTTTTCACTCAATATTATAAATATAATGTTACATATATATATGTAACAAGAGCCATATATTGTTGAGTGAAAAGTTATAATATTGATTATATTATGTTATTATGATATACATTTGATATTTACTGAATACGAATGCATTAAACTATCTTACCTTTCATTATAAAGTACTTTATTAAAAGCATCTAAGATAGTTTGCGTGGATAACGTTTCAAAGTCCAAGTGTACACAAACACCTTTAGCTACCAGTATTTCCACATTAGGTCTTTGATCCATAAAGAAAGGCATTCCGATTATTGGTACACCTTGCCAGATGGCTTCTTGCGTACTGAGAAGACCACCATGTGTCCAAACTGCTTTTACATTCTTATGAGCTAGATAAACATAAAAATATATTTAAGGCAGTATTCACAATCCAATCCTACATTTAGGAATATTTTAAATTCATTTTTAGATACTATGAGGACCGTGTCATTAATTTAATGAACATAAGAGATGATTTTATAGACAATATATTATAGGATCTCTTGAATTATAAGTATCACCCTTAATGTATATAAAAATAATCTAAATAAAAATAATGAACAACTGATGTAAAATAATTGTTAAAAGAAGATATAATTGTATATCAATCTTATATTTCTAGTAATTTCAAATGAATTAACATACTCAACACATCGCCTTGAGGAATCCACTTCACGACCATTATATTATCAGGCAACTCAAATGACATTTTAATTTTTAGTTTCCAAAGCACTCGTTGTTTTAGTTTTGACAAAGCGAGTACAACAGCCTTAAATTTATCCAAATCAACAGATTTCCATGCCACATTAGTTCCTAATGATATTACAACAGCTCCATTTTTTGCTCCATCGAGAAAATCACGTATTTTCTGCGAAATAATGATAAAATAAGAAAATCTTGACGACGTGTCAAGATACGTATACCATATAATTACTGATAATCATTTAACTCTAACCCTATTAGGACGAGCACAACCATTTCGTTCCTGTGGTATCTGATCAGAATCTCTTTAATTGATAAATATTTTAGAATTAATTTCCTTTTCCGTTTCCTTTTAGAATTAATTACTGGAATTGTCTAGGAACATTTGTCTAGACATGAACAATATCAGTAGAAGATAGTTTTTTTATTATCTCAATGTATCTCAATGTATGAATTTACAATCGGTCCTGTTGGACATTGAGTAAATGTTTTGGTGTTAGTACCGACTTCATCAGTTTCGCTCATTTAGATTTAATTTAACAAGGGAACATAGACAACTCGGAAATTCAGAAAATTCTGAAACATTGTGTGCGAGTAGTTTATCTGTAACATAAAACTATTTTTTGTTCTTGCTAAATTACGATTTACAGGGTGAACCACCTTTCGAAAAAACATGACATTTTTATTTTCAACGAATATTTTATAAAATACAAAACATATGAAATAAATGGTTTATGTAAAAGTTGTAGAGTATTTAGACCCTTTGCAACGGTATATTCAGATTTTACAAATATAAAGAATTTTTGAACCCTTCTTCCCCCACTCATTAGCTATACAAATTTTTAAGTTCTTGTTAGCATACAAATAAAAAGTATTGAATACCAAATCTATCCATATATAACACTAGAAAATTGTCGCAATTAAATTTTGGAGAAATCGAGATGACAGAGTTATAGGCGACGGGCTATAGATAAGTGTGTCGTGCCCATGGCGTCGAGCACGAGGAAAAGAATTTTGAATTCGGTGCTGCGAGCGCGGCAGAGTGTGTGGCGGATTAGAGTGGAAATGATAGTCGCGTTTTTAGTAAAAACTTTATTTTTTTTAGTAAAGACTTTATTGTAACAAGTATTGACTTATTTGTTAAACTCCCGATTTTTTAATAAAGCGCGGTATACACGACAGGTGTGAAAATCGCGGGTGAAAGACCGGAAGAAGAATTCCGCCGGTCTTCTCCGATTGTTTTATAATAGCTGTTAGATCTTATCTGAGGAGGTGGCTTAGCAACAAGGAAGTTGCTGAATTTTGGATTGACCGGGCACGTGTCAGCTCAAGGCCGAGGCACGGAATGTGCAAGGTGATGCTTATTGCTTAGTTGCACATCCATTGCCGGGTTGTAGCGCGGTCGGAACGGTTCTTCGTGAAGCGCATAAAATAATATTTTATTTTACGATTATAACATCCTCCTCTCGCTGAGAAAAGAAAACAGAGTGTTCTTAACGACATTTTCGCCTTTTATCTCGAGTTGCGCTTATTTTTGTTCTTAGTATAATCATTATTTTTCCCGTTTACAGTGCTGATTATAATCATGTAATATGCTATACCTATTTCATTCTTTAATTTTATTTACATTTTTCGCTTGGTTACAATTTTGTTTTTTCCGTTTATAAATATAATTATAACTATGCGTATAGGCTATGTCTGCGTATTAATGCAGGAATTGTGAGTATTATTGATTTGGAACATGTTCTTATGTTTCGTCCGATATTATATCCTATTATAATTGGAGGGTTTCTTCCTTTTTTTATTTTTCTTACTAGGAAAATTAGAATTACAATTACTATTATCATGATTATTCCACTCGGTGCTGTTATACAGATTATGTTCTTATAGTTTGTCAAGAAGTTAGAGCTATTTTCCAAATTGATATGTTTGCGTTATCTTATTGCTCAGTTCCGTTAACTCTGGCGGATTTTTAACTATCTTTTACAATTTCGATTGTATTTTATTTTTATTTTTGATTTATGTATTCTTGTTTTGTTTATGTATTCTTGCTCAAGTGTTACGTTGTATTTTGGTATATAAATTGTATTAAATTACTCTTTATTATCCTTTATGCTTGTAAAATAATATTTTTAATTGATAACTTACACTGATCTTTAATGTTCACATTTCTTATTTTGTTGATTTTTTCGTAAAATATTTTTTCTGGATATTGAACGTGAATGGTTTGTTCGTTACAGGTGGAATATAACCATTTTTTGTTTTAGTGCAATTATAAATGTATGATTAGCTAATATGTACTTCGTATGACAGTATTTTGTTTTTTTTAATGTTGTATACATTTAGATTTTACAAGGTGATTCCGTATTAATTCGGTATATTGCGTTTTTTGTGAGCAAGTATACTGATTATTAAATTTTATATAATCCGCTAGTTCATTTTCGTGCAATGTCAAATAAGCATTTGTTTTTTGGTTAATTGCGATTTTGGTAAATAATATATGTTAACGTAAAAATGTTATCATGACTATATACAGGAAAAGAATGTATATGTATTACCTCATATGCAAGGTAAATTATGAGAAGTAAGTTTAAAATAGTGAAAATATTTTTATGTCTATATTATGCACTAGTTATAAGTAATTTCTCGATTTCTAGCCAATTTTATTTTATAGGCATGAACGGGAAGTGTGTATCTTTTGGTATATGGATTGATATTTTTTGGGATATCTATCGGTGTTAGTTTGATTGGTAAGTTTCCTCGCTTTATGCTATCTAGATAGTTAATTATGTCATCTTGGTCACGTATTAAGCCATTAAGTAAAGCGTTGAGTATGGTAAATGTTCGTCTATTTGTTGTTCTAGTGTCAGTCCGGTTTCGCCCACATAAAGTTGTGTTATACTGTTCCATATTATTTTTTTATTTGTATCTAAGGTATTTCTAGGTTTATTAGATGATTCATTGTTGCATTTATAATTTTTAGTTGGTCTGTTACCAAGTATAGCAAAATTTCTTGCTTATTTTCTAATAAATTTAACTGTTCATTTATTGCCTTTTTATTGTTTGTGTCCATTACACCGAAAAGTGATTTGGCTAATGACCCCATTCCGTCCACTAGTTCTCGTTTTGCGTTTGTTGGGGTTTTCCATATGCTATGAATTTGTTCCGTTAAGTTATGTATGCGATCTTATTTTTTTACAATTTTACGTGAGTTATTACACATTTTCCATACAGTGCTTGTCTTGTTTTGTTGATTACAAATTTTCTCTGCGCTGTTAAGATATCCTTGTATTTGGTTACGTCGAATGTCTATCGTCTGTATATTCATCTTGATGACGTCTTCCACGTAGAGGCTACTTGATGCAGGTTTCCTTGTGTATCATAATACACGACAGGTGTATGCGTAAATTCGGTGATAATATAAGGTGATTCTCTTAGTGAGATGTTAGTTTTATGTACGACGCATCCTGTAAATATGTTGGTTTTTTTTAGGTGGTTGTCATTAAATGTGGTTAGATAGACCTCTTATATTCTATGTATAATTTTAATTGATTCACGTGTGTACGTAACATACTTCGGCCGCGTTTTATTGTGTAATTTTGTTTAGGATGTTTCTTCATCATTTCGTAGGATCTTATCCACAGCGAATCGAGTTTTCAGATCGACTTCTTCGTATTGTTTTATCATATATTAATACTCGATCTCTTATTTTATAGCTGATGTGTTTTGTTTTTCGTCACAATGTTTTTATTTTTTTGTTTTTCTTTCTTAATGTGGTGTCGCGCTAATTTATGGTGTCGCCCTTAACCATTGTTTCCTTCCTTTCACGTAATCATCCATGTTGTACGTAATCTTCAGAGATTGGAGTAGGGCGGAAGATATGCTTGCTCGGTGTTCAAATACTAGTTTGAATGGAGTGTAACCGGTGTTAGAATAAGGTGTCGTGTTGTATATAAAAATGGCGCATGATATCCAATTATCCCAATTTGTCTGGTTTTTATTTATATAATGTCGTAAATTTTCAATAAATGTAGTGATGATGTATGAGTGTTCCAGGGCATTGTTGCTTTGTGGGTGGTACGCTGTTGTATGTATTTTTTCAACTTTTAATAATTTACAGATTGTTTTAAAGATATTACTTAGAAAATTTGTCCCTTGGTCTGTTAGTCTGTTAATTTTGTCGTGGATTCCGTATTCTAATACGATTTTTTCGACGAATTCTTTTGCCATAGTAGATGCTTCTTAATTTGGCATGGGTATTGCTTTGCTGAGTTTAGTTAAGTTATTTTGGAATGGTAAATATTTATTTCCTTTTTGTGTTAGTGTCAGGGCCTACAATATCTAATGCATATTTTTCAAATGGTTCTTTCGGTGTGTCTATTATTATCATTGTAGATTTATTTCTTTGTGTTAATTTATTTTTTTGGCATAGGTCACACTTATTTATATATTTCGTCATTTCGGCAGTAATGTTTTTCCAGTTATGATTTAACCGTAATCTCTTTAAAGTCCTTTGGATTCCGTGATGACCTCCCAACGGCGTTTCGAAATTCAGGAAGTACTTGTTTCTTCTCTTCTTCTGAATATTTTCGGATATTACTTTTTGTGTCTTCCTTATCCTCTTCCTTCCTGGGTGTCCATTCTTCCTCCGAAGTTTCTGTATTTACAATTAGTACTGATAATGGTATATTTCTATTTAACACGTCCGCGTTTATATTGATCTTTCCTGATTTATATATGATTTCGTAATCATATTCTTCAAGTTTTAGACGCCAACGTATTAATTTTGATCTTGGATCAGTGACATTAAATAGCCATATTAATGGTTTATAATCGGTTACTATTTTGATTTTTATTCCGTAAACATATGATATGATCTAAGATGTTTCACTACCCATATTATAGCTAGTTCTTTTTCCGTCGTCTTATAATTTTGTTCGGCTCGCGATAATATTCTACTCGCGTAAGTATAGGCTGACCTTGACCTCCTTTCCTTGTGATAGAATTGCTTCGACAGCATAATTGGATGCGTCTGTGGCGATTACGAATTCTTCATTGAGATCCAGGTATTTTAGTACTGGTGCGGTCGTTAGTTTCTCTTTTATTGTTTTAAAAGCTAATTGTTGCTTTTGATTCCATTCAAATTTCGCTCTCTCCTTTGTTAAA